ACTCTTTCATGGTAAATTTTGTGGTTTATAAGCAAAACAAAAGACTTATGAAAAAAAATATATATATATATACAAAAAAATAATGCTAAGTGTTCCAAGTTAAAGGAACTTCTGAAGTTACTAGTTTGAAGTTACAAAGACCAAATATAACATATTGCTAGATAGTAAAGTAGCTATATCCATCTATTGTTATGCCATTCCAACTGCAAATATTTACTAATGTAGAAATGCTGACAATCTTGAAGCTGACGCTTTCTGTCACAATGCTTGGAAAGTCACATAATTAATTCTACTTACACTTGCCGAGGCATCAACTGGATGTTGAGAAGTCACAAAGCAAATACAAATTCTTATCCCCATACTGAAGAAAAGGCAATGGAAACTTGAGATATGACATGTTTATAACATTTAATGTAGCAAGGAAATTGGTAATGCTGTAGGAAGAAAACCTCTGAAACAGTCCAACCCCTAACAGACACACAGGATTAACAGAAATCAAACTGATGCCCTCTTAGACACTGCACATGCACTCACAGAACTGCATGTTTAAAGGATCAGAACCAATGCACCATTTATCTTAACCGATTCAAACATGGAAAACATGATACCACATAGCACTGCTGCTCTCCCTAGGCCAGGGAATGCTCTTAACTACAGTTTTGCTCACTCAGAAGTCAGCTCCATTTGTACATTTAAAAATAGATTAACAACATGAGCATCAAAGGATTAAGAAAACAACTACAATTTAGGAACAGAATATCAAGACATTCAAACTTTGCAAAAAATCCACATGTACTTTACATTTAATACTTATGCGAAGCCTAATTACTTCTGCATCAAAATCTAATTCCTTACTGAGACACACCTGACAGAAACCAAATTCCTGATCATCCATCCAAATGAGCTACCTGAGGTGTGATTTAAGGTGATTCCAGCAGCGAGGCGGTTTCTCAGTGCCCAGGCCATAACCCAGCCGCTTGCTGCCCAAACCGCACGGAGTGCAGCAACACATGGCAGCAAGACTCAAAATAACAGATAGTCCCGACAGCAGGAACAGAGTCTGTCCTTTCAAGCGAGCAAAACCCACTTTTCCTGCTCCCTTCAGGATTTTTTCGCAGCTTTTTCTTCTAGCAAGGAAATTACTGAAGTCATTGAAGATATTTAAATTACTCTGCAGTCGCATCCGGCTGTCAACTGACATGAAATTTCAAAATCCAGTTTTATAGTCTGCTTCTGCTTTACTAAATATAGATATGCATCGTTACCCAAATTTATGTGAATGTTTAAACTGTATTTATTAAGAAAACATTGGCATTGTTTAATTTCACGTATTTGAACAAGCACAGAAGCACAGCTTTACAACCCTCGGGTAAAGATGCTGTCTGACATTGTGGCATTACGCTGATAACACACAGGTACCTCAAAGATAACAAGCAGCCAGTTTGGTCAGGAGCCCTGTGAACTGCCTACTAAAAGTCAACAATCCATCTTACAACAACAACAAAAAAAAACCTTGTTAATGAGCTTCCCGCCGTGTTGATGCCAATATTTACCCCCTCAAATCAAAGTTCTGCAGCTCTCCGAACATGAAGTTCCCAGAAACTTCAGTCAGTCCCAGGGGAAGGACAGCCACCCCCACACACACATCCCCCCCACCCCCCACCCCCCGTTTCTGCAGGCATCGCTGGCGCTCACCTCTCCGCTCACGCACCGCGCCAACGCCAGGGGAGCCCGCACGAGGCGAGCCCCGCGGCCCGGCCCCGCTTCCAGCCCGGCGGAGGCTCAGCCCCGCGGCGGCCATGGCGGGAAGGCGCCGCGGGGCCGCCCCACGCTCTGCTCGCGCTGCCGGCGGCTGGGGCTCGGCTCCCCGTCGCTGCCACGGGCTGCCCCCCCACCCCCTCCCCACGCCGCCGCCACCACCTAGGTGTGGCAGTTCTCGAAAGCCTCACCTGAAGGGTGTCCCCCACGCCCGCCACGAGCTGCCAGGGTTTCATCGTGGGCTGCGAGCCGCCTCTCCCTGCCGCGGCCGGAGCAGCCGCCGGGGCACCCCCGCAGCACGGCCGGGAGCCCGGCGGCGGGCGGAGCGGCCGGCGCTGAAGGTCAGGCTGTCCCCGCCGAGCTGCTCGCCCCCAGCCCCCGAGCCCCCGCCCGGCAGCCGCCGCTACCTCAGAGCCCCGGCACGGCTGGAGGCAGAACGACAGCGCTCCCGGTTACTTGCGCCGTGCCTACACGATTCAAAATGTCTGTGGGACGGTATTTACGACTTTCGGTACGCGATTCTCTGCGTGCTGACCCAAGATGAGCCTTTTTCCCCCGCGGTAGCCCTGGCAGGGACCGAGTCACGGTGCTTGCCCTCAGGTGAGGGCGCTGACACACGCTCGGCCGAACCCCACAGCCTGGGGGTAAGGGCAGAAGGGACTGGATTCAACAACCCAGGCATGGGAAGCTTCCCTAAACGTATTAAATATTTGATAAGTATTCAAATACTAACCCTTGTGCTAAAGTTTGAGGGGCTTCACAATCTTGATCGATACTATTTAACCATTTTGATTAAATAATGATGACTTTCTAGAGAAAATCTGAATTTGTTTATAAATAATAATGTTGCAGACTAAAATATTTTTAAGAAAATGACAGGCTGGGACTGAGGCAAAAGCCAAACACCTTCATCAAAAGATGGTAGTAATTAACCCATTAGTGGAGCAGGCAGAAGTAGTCTGTTTATCTCAGACATTTAAAACTGGCCTATTTTGCCAGGCAAGACATTGCTTATATACTAGCAAAACAAAACACCAAATTATTTTGTTTGTTTTCCAGAGTACAGTTATTTATGCAAATGGGATTACAAAGTGTAAACACGCAACCACACATACAAAACTGAAAAACTGTTGGGTTACTGCTCAGAGAACTTCTCTACTTATATAAAATTTATTTTCACACCACACATATCCTTATTTTTCAGTAATATTCAACATAAATCTTTCAACATTTATCACTGTTTTGCAATCAAAAAGCTGAGTAAAAATGATCTTTGATAACATAATTCCTATTAATCACTCCCTTTCTTCAGATACAGATCAAAGAATTTGCACCTGTTTTTGACAAAACAAGAGACAAAGTTTAATTTGGCTTGAAAAAATTGAAAATGTGCAAAACAATTAGATTCAGATTCTGATTTCATAAGTCTTTCCTCATCTTGTAGAAGTCTTATTTTGGATATGCTCACCTTATAACCTTAACAGAAAAGAGAACTATCTATCTAGATGGTTTATGTGACAAATAAGGCATGTCTTTATTTTAACTTTACAATACAGCTGTGTACAATTTTAAGAAAGCAGAACATTGCAAGGGCTGGCCTGAGTACTGGGCTAATAGCCAAAACAAGTCTCAGAGCTCACATTGGCTTACTGTGTGGCCTTGACCAAATTATTAATCTCTTCAGTTTTCCCACTTGTAAAATTAGAATAATAATACTTACAGTGCCTATCTCCTACCTCTTACTTCTCAGGAGGGCTCTGAGGATCAATGACCCTACATTGCTTTGAAAATGAATAAAAACTAACCGCTAGGCCAGAGTTAATACGTTTCAGAGTGTTAAAGTACTGAAATAACGGAAATTTCAATGAAACCACCTTGTGTATCTAAACATGGATGCCCTAAAACCTGTGGATTATGAAAACAAGATTTCCTATCACTTGACACCAACAAAATACTATGGGTTGGCTTATAGTTCTATTATTTACATCTGATTTTTATCTCTTCCCATTCTTAGTATTAAGCCCAGAATTACATTAAAAGCAGCACTGAGAGCAATTGCGTCTGCTGTCTTTTAGGGTCACGAAAATGCCCTGTCCAAGGCAAGGTTACTCAGAGCCACAGCAGGCAAGAAGCACCACTGGTAACTGGACTGTTTTTTCCAGCATTTGCAGCACATATGGTCATTTAATGAGAGGACCAACACTTCTGGCAGATGTGACATGTTCTCAGTGCTATTCTTCAGAGACTGCAATTCTTTATTCAAGTAATGAAAAAGAGTTTAAACTAATTAATTATCTCATTAACAATAAATATGGGGGGAGCACTGGCTAACAACGTACTGCTGCAGAACAAGATGCATTCTGTCACAAAGTTGGGATGATGAGCAGATGATTAAGCAAAATAATACTCCAAGATAAAATACACCCAAGTTAAAAAAAAAAAAAAAAGAGAGAAAGAGAGAGAGAGAGGCAGTTAATCTGGTAACAAATTATATATATAGTTATATATTTATACATCCATTTTCACCACTCTCCCTAAACAGTGGACAGTTTTGTTCTTCTGACTTCTTCCACCCCACACAGGAACAAGAGAGAAAATTCTTTAAATGCTCTACTGGTCAAACGATTCCACTTTTTCTCCTTGAACCATCACTACAGCAGTTCCCACTGCAAAGCCTTATCTGAGATGCAATCCCCTTGCTTGATAACATGGATACTTCAGGAGCTTTGTGCGGAGCAACATCATTGGGGCACCAGTGCCTACGGAGCAGCACCAAGACCAAGACCACTGTGAAGTGCTCTGGGGATAGGCAAAACTCACATTAGAAACTGCATCAGAGGCTCTCTCACAGGCTCTCACCATGGCTCAGACACGAGACACTGTTATGACTTTCTTACTTGCATGCAAGAAAGAATGAGGAAGGTCTCTCTCTAAGCTTTGGTGCTTCTGCTATACTTGTGGGGACAAACATTAATTAACTACTGTATTACTGTGATAGTAGCAAGCATTGAAATTTCTGTAATCCTGCATTTGTATCTTTTGCACTTGAGATTTTCAACAGTTTATTGAATACTACAATACTACATTATGTCTCATGTTACATCAAAAATTCTAAATGAAAACTAGTTGTTTGCTATCTAAACCTTTGCATTCTTTTCTCTTTTTTTTCTTTTCTGAAATTTCTACTTTACAAAGAAAATTAATTCACAGAGAAATAAACAAAAGTAAATAATTGCCCTACTAAACATAAGTGTCTTCTAGTGAATGGTGTGGCTTGTTTGATTTTTTAAAAAACTGATCCAAACATATTTGTGTCACACTAGAAGGCTTCTAGGTGAAAATCTTCAGTGTGCTTTGTGTATTCTCCATTTCTTGAACTAAGTTCCTGTGGTATGGGAACTATTAAAAAGCAATGTAACCATTGAAGGAGAATGAAGACTGGTAAAATTCAGAAGTAGTATCTTGAGTATAAGGCAATCCTGCACCTGTACAGTTTCAAAGATATTTTTTATATTGGATAGTGAAATGTGGCTTAATCTGTTCTGCATTTATGCATCAAACACATGGGGGCTCTCCCTGCCTGACAGATTACTGCAGAAATGATTTCTTTCTACATGCCATCTAATGATCCAGTTGTATTACAAAAGGTGAGCCTAATGAAGCATATTCAGATGGAAATCATGCATGATGGAAATCATCACGCAATTTATGATAAACATGTTGTAGTTTTATTTTTAAACGTTTACAGTGTGCGAGTGTGAGGGAGATGACCAACAAGAAACAACATCAATCATATGTCACAACCCTAACAATGCAAGCACAGGTCAAGGAAAACTAAATCTGAGGATTCATGCTAGACTGTTGCTAAACATAATCTTTTGGGGACCATATATCAATGGTAAGGATTTTTAAAACTGAAGTATCAAAAAAATGCAACTGTAAAACACAAGGCTTTGCTCTACTATGCAGAATTTAAAATGTTCTGCAGAGGTCTCATCCTGCAAGCATTCATACTATTGATAACTTCACATTCAGATTAACTGTAAGAGAACACAAAAATAAATGTTTATAGTACTATACCTACAAAACAGACATTAAAAAGAATCAGCAAGATAAAGTACTACGTGTTTTCATGAATTAACTCTGTATATTCAAAATTAAAGCACTTTTTCTGTGGCCCCATGCTCACAAGTTATATCTATAAATAAGTTGTAAATGTGATTATATCCATCTGAAATGCTTCATTTTGTGTTATTAGTAGTTGTTTTTAAATTGTTTTTCAGGGAAGTATATTGACATTGATGTTGCTAATGTGACTTGAATGTTCTAGTATTGTTTTGGCTATCTATACAATTATGTTAGTTCACAAAGTTACCTGTGAGCATCCATTGGTATACACTTTGAAGTTTATATACTTTCACTTTGATTGTAATTGCAAAATTTTGCAAAATATTATGTGAAAAATTTTGCTATCCTTACGCACACACAAAAAAGACTATGTTCAGAAACAAGTGTAAGAAATCAAGTACCATCAGTAAAAACAGTAAGTGAAACATTACTTGTATGCAATTATGATACAACTAACAGATAATAGCAATGATACAACAGATATGTACTTCAAACCTCACTGAAAAAAAGTTTGTTGCATAAACACTATTCCAGTTATCATAAAAATAACAATTCATCCTTGCATTATTCATCCCTGTATAATATTAGAGGATTATATCCTCTCCAAACCCACAGAATGCATACTCCACAGGATAATGATTACTGCACAGCAACTGATGCTTACCAGGATATATTCAAAAAATAATTACTTATCCAAAGTCCTAAAATGAAGTAAAGTTCTTGCAGATGCATCAGATCCAGGATAATATTTTATTTTTTTTTCAAGCCTAAAGAAAGCACAAAAATCTAGATCGCAAAAGCAGTCATTTTAAGGCTATAACTATTTTTTAATTTTTGTTTCTTCAGATTGTCACAATGTTTAATGTAACACATATGATAAGGTATCTACAAATATAAAGAAACCGTTTCAGAAAAGTCTTGAGGAAAAATAATGCCTTATGTGCTTATACATATTCACAACTTTGTTGAAATACTTAACTATTCATAAAAAAAATTACATTACAAAGGCAAATAATATTTCATCATGAACCAGGATTACTAGTAAAAGGCTAACTTCCAATACTTCAAGATACATTCCCTTCAAAAGGAATCTAGATCCGCTCTTAAATGTTGTTCACCAGCAAATTACAATTCTTTGTTTAGTGACATTTAGAAAACACAACATTTTTCTGCACTGGGAATTCAATATGTCTTCTAGTTCTATTTTTTGCTGGTTTTTTTTTGTTTGGTTGGTTGGTTGGTTGTTTTTTTTTACTTCACAAAGTGTTAAATGATACTGCAAATCATTTCCTCAGTAAAACCGCAATGAGGTTGATTTCTTTAAAGGGCCACAGGCCTAGGAAATACAGATGGAATTGTGCTCATCAAGAGTGCTACAGGAAGTGCAAACACACAAAGGAAAATATCTAAAAACCCTGGAAGTGCAATTGCTTGCCACTGTAGATAATTCGGTGCAAGAAACACTCTCTTAATGACAAACTACACTTCGCCCCACAGAAGAGGATCTCTGAATGTCACTCACCCCGTCAAAAATTGACATTCTCCAGACCCACATCTGGGAGTCACCACGGGGCAGTCAAGGCCTCTGCCTTTTGTATCCGGAAGAACACGTAGGCAGAGGGACCTGAATTCAGACCTTTAGCTCTGCATTGACTTTCAGACAAAACTATGGTGAGCATGGGCCTACATGAGACAGGTATGAGGCTGTGTTGCCTGTACTTACTTACAGGCCATTACCTGAGGGAGTGAGGAGGGGGAAAAAAAATTAAAAGAAAAAAAAAAGAAAAAAAAAAGTTACTTAAGTTACTTAGAGTTTTCTAGGAAACTTCTGGCAAAACAGAGAGGAGAAAAAAAAAAAAAAGCAAAAACCTTTTTTCTGTGGGGCATATGGTGATACAATTCTGTTAAGAAAGTGTGTAAATGCATATCTCATTCTTAGCTAATGGCAAAATAAAGTGTTGTACTTACTTTTACTCAACCTATTTACATTTACAGTTGCTCTCCAGATTGCAGAACGTTCCAGTGATATTTTTGTCACAAACATTATATGCATGCATATACCCACTTCTTGCTAAAATACATATGAAGAGTTGAATACCCTTACAAATACCAGCTGTAAAGGAATGTGAGGATTGCTCCTCGCCAGACTTTAAACAAACTGCTCTCATTTAACGTAACACCATCACACCAATGCCACAGCCTGATGGGCGCAGTCAGGTATGAGGGTGGCACCTCCAGCCCATTAACATGGGTCTGCTCTGCTTTCCAGCCCTGCTGGCACTTGGACTGTCACAGCTTGAGGATGCAAGCAACCACTTGCTTCTGCTCATCTGTGCCACAACACAGTTGACTAATTAATTTTTTAAAGTATTCGAGATGTGACACTTCATATACAGGATTGAATACAGATTAGCATTACAATCATCACAAAGCTTTTGTAGGCTCAAATTTGTCTTCTTCCAGCAAAGTTTCCTTTAATGTGCAAATGAATGATGCTACGTATCTTGAAATAAACAGGCTCATTATGGTTATGACTTGTCATATATGCAGGCATTCAGAATTATATTCACAGCATACAGTAAGCTGGCAGATAAAGACAGGCTAAACAAAAGATATGCAACTCCCAGTCTGCTATCATATTTAGATGTCTTCATATCAGAGCCATGAAAACATTTCTCTCCCCATATTTGTACATTGACAATACCTTCAACGGCTTTCCTAGACCAGTTCTAAAGATGGAATGCCTTTGCAAGACCAAGTGAAAAGAGAGGAAAGGGAACATGAAATCACCTCACAAATTCAAAACCCATAAGGGCTGCGAGGCAGACTAGAGGAGGCTGCCCATGCAACAAAAAGGTCACAGGGAGACAGGCAAGTTAGCTCTGTTTTAATATATAAAACCTTGAACAGAATACTTCAGTAAACAGAAACATACTAATTAACTTTTTTTTTTATGGCTTTTTAGGAATTATTTTTTACTTTGCATTCTTTGCTATTTTTGAGAGCAAATAAATCGATGTATCTGGAGTCAATTTATATGTCACAGGCCACAGCTCATGCAAAGCAAAAGGACCAGTACATGCCATGGCAAAAAGGGTTGCTCACAACAGCTGTTTGTAAAGAAGCAGATTTCTAATAGGAGACGCAGTGCCAGGACAGTTAGCTTACAAGGCTTCGCCTGCACTGAGATGCAAAAAACACCTCAGTCCAGGAGATGGTACTTTAGAGGGATTTAAGGGGACCAATGTAAATTTTATCAGATTTAAGGGAACGAACATAAAATTTGTCATCCATTAGGGAACGCATATAGGATATCTGAAATTAACACCTTGATATGTTTCAAAGAATAATTAGGGTAAAACATGTTAAAAATAATTTTCATACATTTTTCTGACAAACTGTTGTGGACTTCTGTTGTTAATTTTAGTGGTTTCAGTTGGATTTGTTACAGCTGGAAACATAAGGGGAAGTATGCAGTAATCAGGATGTGACACTCATTAATACTTGCACAAAATACCCACTGGATTTGCATAAAGTCTGCAGATTCATCGGTGAATCTTTAATGTGAGAATTTCCCTTGGTTTTACTCCAGATTCAGTTCCATTTGTCCTCCCTCTCTCCTCCAGTGATAATTGCTGTAAACAGTTCATAACAAAGCATAATTAAATGTACTGAATAACTAAAATATACACATAATTACTCAAAAGCTTATATAACGACATATATTCTTTTGCAAATTGCAAATGTTTTCAGAGAAATTATCTTGTAAGGGAGATAATTCTGAGTATGATGACACTCCAAGTCATCTAATAAATCTGGAGATTTCCAGACAAGTTTTTTATGACCTGTGTATAAGTAACATCCATGGCACAGCTCACACACAGTGTGACCTTCACAGGTAAAATGCCATGAAAAACTTCTAGAAATGGCTACGCCCCAAAGATGGTGACATATTTCTGGTTCTGACAAACACAAAACTCTAAAATAAATCATGGCCCCCATTAAGGGAGATATTTCTTGCTATTGTTGATATCATAAAATTTGACAAGAAATTTTAAAAAGTGTGGGCTATTTAAGTCTTATCTTAGGGGAAGTGCTAGTTCTCAAGAGTCAGGTATTTACTACTTATATGTATCTAGTGAATATCTATACTAAATATATCTATATCTAGATATTAAAAGTAGATATTTATAATTTTAGTAAATATTTATTTCTTATTTTTAGCTGAACTGTATAGCTTTAGTACTGTATAGCTTGATGACTACATTGACTGCATCATGCAGCTCTGCATTTAGACCAAGGCAACATAATGCCATTACAGTAGACAATAAGTTATATAAAGGAAAGTTCAATTGAAAAAATGTTTTTCTCTTTTGTATTGTAAAAAAAGGCTTCCCAATTTTTTTAATTCCCATTGAAGCTCAAGATTGTGCTGATAACAACGCTCTTTAGTTAGTTTTGATTTTAAAATAATTCTACAAGAATGACTGATGCTTCACTCAATATTAATAGAATACTTTTAATTTTAAGTAAATTTAGTATGAGATTCAGAATGCATTTTTAAAGCAAAATTCAATTCATTTCCTGTTATAAATTCTTATAAATATGCATAAATGATTTAATTTCTAGTGTGCTATGCTCAAAACTTAACATTTGTGCATAGTATAAGCTTTGAAAATATTTGAAAACCATATATGTAACTGAACATCTGTACCAGACAATATATTATTTCACTGGCTTGCATTTTGATCAAGTTTATTGACTGAGAGTCTTCCTTCATTGCTCCTACTCAACAGATCATTCTTTCTCTCTCTCCAATAACCCATTAGCACTTGAGAGAATTTTCTGAAAGAAAACACTATCTGAATAAGTAAGAGAGCCAGAATGCTTTGCTGCATTTTTACTTCTAAAAGGGCCTCACTGCACTCACAGCAAGATTCCGCTAATTCAAATGGCACAATAACACCTCTTCTGAACACCATTTTTAAACAAAAGTGTAATATTTTGTTTGTAAATATGTTCAAATATTTCACTTTTCATTCATTTCTCTCAATAGCATGAACCTCAGATAAAAATATATGGATTTCCTTGTCACTGGGAAGAAAAAAACAAAGCATACCCCAACAGTCCTTTTTTCTGCCTTGCAGGCTGCCAAGTGGCTTAAAAATGAAATTAAAATGGGAAAACAAGGAAACAAGAAAAGGAGGACAGTCTGTACTCCAGTGCTCACTCTCTCCCCGTCCCTGGTAGGCGCCATAGTATGAAGAAAATACATTTTTTTGACTGTATCTTTTTTTTTTTTTTTTTTTTTTGGCACTCATTCTCTGTTTCTTGGCAATTGTCTGCAGTATAGAAGAAAGTGGCTCCAGACAAGACTTGGAAACCAGGTGCCAGAAATTTGGTCCTGAGCAGTTTGTATCTATGAATTTCTTAAAAACGCAGACAACAGACCAAGTATATTAAGGGTGGCAGAGCCTCCTGGATACCAAGTTGGCATGTAAGGAATGAGACCAGGCAGACAGGTGTTGGCAGGAAGCTTAGGCAAGGTACTCAGCCAGCTGCTGGGATCCTCTCAGCACTAGCAGAGCAGGCAGAGGTCCATCTGCAGGAGAGAAACTTAACGCTGTTTTCTCAGGTGTAACTCTGCACACCAAGGCTACGAACCCTTCCCCTCACTCTCAGTAGCAGAAAATGAAGGAACTCATTACTTGTAGAGAGGGAGTTCTTTAACCTGGCAGTGGAATACAAATGCCTGTCCATACACAAGCAAGGAGGTGTAAGGAGCTTCTATACATTATTTGCAAAGATCACAAAAATGCAGCCTGTGTCCAATAGAGCTCCACTTCCCTCTGCCTAGTATAATACCTACTGGTTACTACAGCAAAGCTTTTAGTAATACTAAGAATGAGACCATACACTCTGAACCACCCACAACACCATCCAGCAGGGTTTCCGAAAGCCAGAGGCTGACTGTCAGCCCTATCTAGTTCATGGAGCTAAAGGTGGAACTACAGGAAAGGTGCTCTTCCAAACAAGGACACAGTTACGTTTCCCTCAGGACACCAGGATCATGTCCCTCCGCTCCAGACACTAGCTCCTACTGCAAAAGTTCATCCAGTGAGATCAGACTTCTTTAAACCAAGTGAAAAGTCAGTACCACTATTTCATTTTAGTGTCACCATTTTCCCCTCCTTATCACAACTCTTGCTCCTACAAATGTCACCAACTTCTCTGTTCTTCTGAAGTTCACATAACTGGTGACCTTTCCTCCCTTCAGTTCTCTTCAAGAAAATGCTCGATCACAATATTTAAAAGATAAAAGTGATAGAAGTGTTTTTGTAGCATTTTAGATCAAATACTAATTTTACATGGGAAACAAAACGGCACTCATTTTGAGCAGAGAAGGGAACTGGTGAAAAATCAAGACAAAAGTCAGGGAAAAATACTCCACATTGACTTCAATTGAATAACGTTAATTTGTAGATATAAATTTTGAATGAAAGTCATAGTAGTAGAACTGCAAGCCAACTTTATAACAATGTTGCAATAAAATATTGCTCAAAGGTTAATTATGTCGTATCTTTCTCTAGTGGAAGGTTAGAAAGACTAACAAAGCTTTAGAAGAACATCCTTTATGAAAGACAGATACACACACACATTTTAAATACGCAGTATTTATAAATATAAAATCACAGAAAGATTCCCAATCTTAAGTATTTGCTGAGTCTTTTTAAAGAATTACACTGTACCATTATTCCATCAATTTTGTATCACTTTCTGAAGTAGCCCTGGGAAGCTGGTGTCTGATTGTAGGATATTCTGCTCTTTTCCCCTCAGCTACCCCAACGGGCCAGATCTCCAGCATGCATTCAGGGATCTGCATGCAGCTTTCTGTAAACAAAAGGATAAAGGACTGCTTGTTTAGAACGGGATTGAAGATCCTGGGTTCTGACAATTCCACGTCATATAATGAGTACAAAGATAGCAACACATTTATTTATTATTTATTAATCAAACATTAAGATGTGGCCCACACAGTCCATGTCCATTATTTGGTATGTCTCACTGATTTAGAACCTGCAGCAGCATAAACCAGACATTTCTATTGAAATTAAAATAATAATTATCATCATCATCATCGTTTACTGCAATACTTTTCTCTGCCTTTCCATAAAAGAACTAAATTATATTTTTACCCGAGTCAGTATCAATTAGTCAAAGAGACAGAAAAGATGGCAAAGACGGCATAGGTCTTGGGTAGATGAGATACGTTTGGAGGTAACTTGATTTGGTTAGTGAAAATTGTGGCAGGCAGGGGTATCTCCTAATAAGAGCTCACTTTCAGGTGTGAACTTCTTAATGGACAAGCAATGAGACTCCAGACAGCCTTCACTGCACGAGCCAGCCTAACCAAGCAAACACAAAATGTAAAAGATCCAACACTAAGAAAGAGGAATGCGGTGAGGACTGGTGTGGAGCAAACCAAGCAACAAAGTAAACAAGTTTCCTCGAAGTCTGCTGCTGGGCTTGAGTTAATGTTGCAGAAGGAACAAATTGCGGAGAGAAAGCTGGAAAGGAAAAGGAACAGCCACCATTCTGTGTGCCACACCACGAGGTTCGTGTTACTTCTCCCTCTCCTGAACATCTGCTGCATTGAATAAACATTACACGTATATTTCTATACACACACTTATTTAATATTCTTAGTAAGGAAGCAAGTAAAACGTATCTAGATCATGATTATTTGGAAAATATAAAAGTGACAGATTTATTTGAACTACAATGCCAAAAACAATTGTCAATAACATTTTCTACAGAATATGTTTTGATCTGTTGTTTGGGAACAAGTTGGAAGACTGACTACCAATGCTTTGACAATAAGGTGGCATCATCTTTTAATAAGATAGGAAGAGTCTGTATTCGTTCTTGTGAGTCACCATACTTTTTTTTTTTTTTTTTTTTTTTGGTACTATGCTAAGAACTGTGGATTCGGATGATTACACTAATTAAATTTGTAGTCAGAGTAGACTGGTTTTTGGAACACTACACCATTTAAAGATTCATCTATTTTTATTAACATACACAGCTAGAGAGAGAGTTGACCATCACATCAACCTTGCTCTGGTAGTTTTATTACTGCAGTTCTAACACTCACAGTCAGTGACTTCAGCTATTCTTTGTGATGCAAATGTCTTCACCATACAAGTGTGAGGAATAATTGCCTGAGGTGACTTAGAAATTAAACTTATATTCACATTTTTAAGAAAAGGTACAGCACTGAAGAAGCCTCCAGGGTGGAGTGTAGCTGCATTCCATAGAAGTTCCGTAGGCCTCCAGCCTGAGATATTGGCCACACCAGGGGAACTTGGTGTGCTGACCCTAACAGGAGCTGTACAGAGGGTAGAGCAGAGTGGAGACACCATGGTCAGGCTCTGTGGTAAGATGGGAACTCAAAGGTATGTCAGAACCAATAAGCTGCATATTTGCTGCCCTGAGCCAATGACCTGCTATGTTTTTGACAAAATGCTGTCCTTTTGGAGAACTTTGCTCATTATAATATCATTATAATACCAAAACACACCTCTATCCCAAAGGCTAACCGAGGTACAACCACCCCTCACTGAGCATGCGCTCT